ACCACACACTTACAGTGGATCTCAACTGGTAAAATGACTTCCACCACCTAGTTGTAACTTCCTGACTTCAGCATTCCTATGACGGTTCATCTAGACAAGATCTAGAATCATGGAGACACACACTTCTGGGCGTGTATGTGAGGGAGGGGGTTTCTAGACTGAGTTAATGGAGGTAGAACCCACCCGAAAGGCAGTAGCTAGCTGCCTCACACTCCTCTGCCATGATGTACTGAACCTTCAAACTGTTAGCCAGAATACACCCTTTCTTCCTTAAACTATGTCACAGCAACAAGTAACTACTCTAGAAGAATGGCTGCGGGCTGTCTTTCCGGACACTGTGAATATATGTTGTTCCCAGTGGTTAATAAATAAGCTGTTTGGTCCACGCAAGGAAGCTCAGAGGCAGGCAGGAAATCCGAGAGACAGGAAAAAGAAAGAAAGGTGGAGTCTGGTGAACTCTTCTGGCAAGTACTTCCCCAAGGTCCGCACACAGAAGCTGTGTTCCAGAGCGGGCCAAGGCTGTATCTCATGTGGGCAGTCAAACTTGCTAACAAGAGTCACCCATGTGGTACTGCTTCTGAAGTCACGATGGGATCATGGAGAGGCACTGGCGAAGGTGCAGCGTGAGCTGCAGTACAAGGCCCAAGATTGAAGGGATCATGGGCAGAAGTTGTGGCCTGGCACCATATGGCAGGGTCACAGTCTCTGAAGAAAGCCCAGGAGAGGTTATTGGTGAAGGTGCTCAGTTGAAGTGGAGACTCCAGCATTTTGGAGATGCTAGTACCATGGGATGACCACCAAGGGGAGCAGCAATGATGGGGTACCAGCCTGAGCTAGGAGAAAAGCTGTGTGTGTGCCGTGGCAAGCCTTTTTGCTGTGAATTATACTCATTGTTAAAAAAAAAAAAAAAAAAAAAAAAAAAACAGAAATAAAAAGTGATTGGCCAATAGCAGGGCAGAAGAGATTGGGGGAGAGAGCCTGACACAGAATGATGGGAAGAAGGGTGGAGTCAATAGAGTCAAAGAGATGCCAGCCAGCCAGCTGCACAGGAAGCAAGACAAGCTAGAGGACAGGTAAAGCCACAAGTCACATGGCAATACATAGGTTAACAGAAATGGGTTAATGTAACAGCTAGTAACAAACCTAAGGTGTCAGCCAAGCATTTATAATCCATATTCAGCCTCTGAGTCGGTTACTTGGGACCAGGTGGTCAGGACAGGCAACGTCCGTATACACCTTTTGGAGCCTAGAAGACTGAGTCTCAGAATAGACACTTAAGCTTTATATCACTGGATTTCAGCTTTGTTTTCCTTTGATTGTGACTGTCATGGCTCTTTCCTCTTGAAATAAAGTAAACTTGTTTTTGATTTTTTAGGAACCCATAGTCATGAGACCTTAGAGAAACTCCGGAATTCTAAAGAGACTTTAAATATTTTAAAGAGACTGAACTTTGTTTTTTTAGTTTTTTTGAGACAAGGTTTCTCTGTGTAGCTTTGCGTCTTTCCTGGATCTCACTCTGTAGACCAGGCTGGCCTCAAACTCAGAGAGATCCGCCTGCCTCTGCCTCCCAAGTGCTGGGATTAAAGGTGTGAGCCACCACTGCCCAGCAAGAGACTGAACTTTTTTTTTTCAACCCCACCCCCGAGACTGAACTTTTAAAGTTTGGGATATGTTTTATATTGTGACGTTGATATTAATATGACATCTTGGGGACAACAATAAAGGAAAGGTTTTGATTTAACGATGATGTGCTTGTGTGTCAAGCTGACAAGGTCGATTGTGCCAACTAGTTTGATGTCAACTTGTATCTGGGAAGAGGGAATCTTATTTGAGAAAATGCCTCCACAAGACATAGGCAAGTCTGTGGTGCATTTCCTTTATGGTGACTGCTGGGGGTGGTGCCACCCCAGGCAGGTGACCCTGGGTGTTGTAAGAAGACAGGCTGAGCAAACCAGGAGGGAGGAAGCTAGTAAGTAGCATTCCTCTATGGAATCTGCTTCAGCTCCTGCCTTGAGTCCAGCTCTAACTTTAAGATGAAATCTTCAAGTCCCTTTGGTCATGGTGTTTTATGACAAGAAACCCTAAGATGGGTAGGTTCTAGGAAATCTACACTCAGTCCTTATGCCTGTGCAGCAAGCCCTATACACAACGAGCTGTCTCTCCAGCTCCAAATTTGTTTTTGAGACAGGGTCTCACCACGTAACTAGCTGGTCTGGCGGAACATCCTAAGATCCACCTATCTCTGTGTCCTAAGTGTTGGGAATAAAGGTGTGCTCCGCCATGCTCAGCCTTTGTGTTTGGATGTGATGGGGCTCACAGTTAAGAGCCTGCCTAAGTTTCAGAGAGACTCTGTCCTATTTTTGAAGAGTGTTTGGACAGTTACAGACTATCTAGACTTTGAAGTTGACCTAAATCCATTTTGTATTATGAGATGGCTATGAGCCTGAGGCCCGAGGATGGGAGGTTATGGCTAATAAGGGTCATGTTTGGGCACCAAATTGACAAGGGGTGAACTCATGATAGAACTGTCTACTTGAAAGGACCTAGAATTATGTAGAAGACAACTTTCTGAGTGTTGTCTGTGAGCTTTTAGGTTGGGTTAACTGACATGGGAAGACCCATAGTAAAGCAAAACAAAACAAAAATAACCTATTCATTCCATTAGCCAGAGTCCTAGGCTGACTAAAAAAAAATCGGAGAACCAGCATTCATTTCTCCCTGCTTCCTGACTGCTCAGTAGCCACATCCTGCTCTTCTGCCTCGATTTCTGTACATGATGGAATGTATCCTTAAACTGGCAAACACATCCACCTGTTCAATTCCTCTGTCACAGCAACCAGAAGAACAATTCCTTACTCCAACAGGTACCCTTCTTACTCATGTGACATCATTCTCCCTCCTTCACAATCCTGACACCTCCCCAGAATAGCCCTTGCTGAAAGTCCTCTCCCAACCCCTCTCTCCCGTCTGGGACCGCCCGCGCTCCTCACCTGACTCCGCGCAATCTTAAAGGGTGTAGCGTTCACCATGTGGCTCTTTCGGATGCCACTCCATCTGGTCCGGTAGTCCACAATATGGCAGGGGGGGCGGACGTACTCATCGTAGAGCACATCGCCATTGTAGTTCACAATGCTGCACCGAGCCAAGGAGCTAACACGCCCCTTGGGCCCTGTGCCCACCATTTCACAGTCCAGGGCCACCATCTTCCCCGGCAAGTTCTGGGAGACTTTAAGGCACTTATCCTCTGAACGCGCTTGGGTGGAGCTTTGTGCAGCATTTTTCTTCGAGGACTTCTTGGAGCCTTTATTCTCGGAATGAGCTTGAGTGGAGTTCTGTGCAGCACTCTTCTGTGGGGGCTTCTTGGAGTCCTTACTCTCGGAATGAGCTTGGGTGGAGTTCTCTGTAGCATTTTTCTTCAAGGGCTTCTTCTTGGAGCTCTTCTGAGTGTGAGATGGGTGGTTCTTAATCTTTGGAAGGGCACTCTGAAACTCCCCTAGCAAATCTATTTTAGCCACGACAGAATCAGTCTTCTTTGAAGGAGCAGGGGTCAGCCAAGACAATGATGCTTTCTTGTCTGTGGACTGCTCTGCCTCCCTCTTGGAGGCAGCTGCTTCCTTCTTCTTTGGGCATGGAAGGATCTTCAAAATGCCATCTACTCTTGAAGAAGTTTCCCCTTTCTGTGGAGGTTCCGAGTGCAACTTAGACACCTTGCTAGGAGGTTGGTTCTTTTTATTCAGAAATCCTCTCTGCTCTAAGAACCGTCGCTTCTTGACAAAACGTTGGTGCTTGGCATTTCCTCCAAATGCCTTTTTTGGAGGTTCCCCAAAATCCAAATTCAGGAGTATAGTGGACATGAGGACAGTGGATGGTGGGAGGGCAGCTGGGAAGACTGGCTTACTAATGGAAGACGGATGAGAAGCTCATTCTCTGTGGAATCCCATAGTCCAACATGTGGAGGTCTGCAATTAGCCCTGGGGACAAAAGTAATCCTGATACCTGTACCATAGGCCTGGTGGAGGGTAGGGGGAGGGAATAAGATAAGACCAATTCTGGAAAGCTTAAGTTATATACTGCAAGCACAAAGCCCAGATACTAATGAAGCCCTACAATTCAACTTCGGGTAGATCTTAAGAGGGATATTTCCACTCTCCAGAGGCCCAGGGTTCAGTTCCCAGCACGCATGTGGTAGCTCACAACATCCGTAACTCCAGCTTCTGGGGGGATCAGATGCCTTCTGATCTCTGCAGATACCAGGCCCTTACATGGTATATATATACACATACACACACACACACACACACACACACACACACACGCAGGCAAAGCACTCACACAAATAATAAATCTAGTAACATAAAGTGAAGATGCTGAGGCTGGGGGTAAAAAGGGGTTGTGGAGCCCACAGAGTTCGACCTCTGCCAAGTCTATGAAGTCAAAACAAGGGTGTTGCGAAGAGAAGTAAAACAGCAGAGAAGGAAAACTCCTAAGTATGTTTGCCATCGGTAAGAGGATTACCCAGAGGCGTCCTCCGAAATGAAGGATGGCACCAGAAACGAAGAGCAAATCCAGGCCCTGCTCTTCCTCGGCTCCACGTGGGGGCGATCTGCTCACGCACCTCATCTGTGTCGTCCCCTTCTCCCCCCACCCCCGCAACCATAGCAAGGACCTTTGGTGATGACACCACACATCACCAAAGGACCTGAGTGGAGGAGACTCAAGAATCCAGGCGGACCACCTTGTCCCGCACACTCTGCCGGTGCAGGCCGTTCCCCCGAACACCCCGCCCCACCCACCTACCTCCAGGTTGGGTCCCACTAAGATCGCAGGCGTCCGGAGCCGGATGCGGACGCCGGCGCGCGCCGACGTATACCGGGACGGCAGGAGCGCGGGTGGCAGCGCGAAGGCGGCCGGCGCACACGCGCCCGCAGC